TTCCATGTCTCTTCCAGCTTTCAGTACTTGGTTTGCACCTTATTGAAGCTCGTACCTGGAAAATTGTATGCGACATATACAATATGTGTAATTTGAATAGGTTTAGCAAGAAGTCACATTTTCTGATTTGAGCACATCCACAAAAAAGGACTTAAAAACCCAAGTAAGTCTTATGCGAGAATGCAGAATAAAGTCCTGCGTAGAAAAAGTTCCCAAAGCTCATATTCATTCTGAGTATTGATAGGGCACAATATTAGTTTTCTAAATATTTTATGGGGGGGATATATTTTCAGGATTTTTTTCTATTCACAACTAACCAGATACGAAGCCTGTATCTAGGAAAGTGACAGATGGAAGAAGCATTGCCTTCAGTAATAAAAACAATTTAAAGAAAGTTGGCAGTGACATTTTGGACTGTGGTGTTAGTTTCAGAGCCTGTGTTCAAAGGCAAGGCTTGGTTGGAGGATAATTCAAAGGTGCAAATACCTTTATTTTGGTAAAGGAGAGTTAGTGGATATAAGAAGGACTTGTTAAGCAACTAAGGTCCAGATCCTCAAAGACATTTAGGCACCTAACTCACATTGGTTTCAGAGGGTGTTAGGAACCTAAATATCTTTGAGAATCTTGGTCTCCATCATTAATGAGCTCACAGGACTGAAGTTTTAAAGGCCAAAGCAATGGGTGAGCTCACAGAGTGAGCTGCTGGCATCTTTAAAAGACAATCCCTGGCAGAAGAACTGATGGGTGGAATCCCAGCTCAACTGATGCCAGTGACATTGTCCAAGGTTTAAACAGACATGACAAAGGCTGGCAGGGGAAACAGGGTCGCAGGGGGTCAAAACAACTGGCCCAAGATCATGCTGCAGGTCACTTATGGTAGAGCTGGGAATAGAGTCATGGGAATTCAGACACATTGTGAAGGCTCTTTGTACTTAAAAAAATTAAAGTGGATAATTTGTATCCAGACAAAACCTGTTGACTAACCTCCTCTAGTGTAAACTGGCATCACTCCATTGAAGCTGGGCCACATTTATATCAGCTGAGCATCTGACTCCATCATCTACTAGCCCTTACTTAAATTAGGTGGACTGATTTGACATGTCCGTTCTGAACTGATATTTTGTCTTCCAATAACTCTCTAGTATTTTAAACATCTTGAAAGTGAATTATTAGGGCTTTATGTTGTTTTTTAATCTTATACAGTCTGAAAAACATGTGCGCCTTTGCCAACCAGTCACCCATTTTTTTATAGTCACTGCTTTGCAATGCACTAAACTAGGGTACAGGTGCATTATTTTTAAAATCTAATATCAGCACTTATGAAAGCTTTTATCACCGTGAAACAAACATTGATGATCCTGCATAATATTGGAGAGCAGAATTTAATACCTGCTGACAGAAAGAATTAAGATCTCTCTATTGGTACCAACACGAGATAAATTCAACTTAATATAGTCTGGGTCTGCTAACATTCAAGTATTTCAGTGGCGTCATTTCCAATGTATCAGCATTTCCATCTGAATCTATTATCAGATTTTGGTTGGCTTTTATTTGTTTTATTAGGTTCTTTTGTTTTGGGGTTCTTTAAGAGCAGCGAGGTTTCTTACTCTGTATGTTCAGTCACAGCTGCAACCTGTCATAAAAAGCTAAGGATAAAAATAATTAAATTTTAATATTATAAAGACTTTTAATTGTTTTGGGGGACCTATTTTTGTGTTTTCTGCTGCAATGCTCTAATTTTATAACTAAAAAGCAATTTCAGCAAAATGAAAAATTTCCTGTCAGTAGCTTGTGTAGTAGATTTAGCCTAGTGGGTCTTTTATAAGTGACTAGGACCTCCAGCACCAAAAGTGGGTTCTTGGAGTTATTGTCCTATGTTAATTTTTTAACATAACATAAGAACATAACATAAGAATGGCTCTTAAATAAAAGACCTTGACGCTTGTTATTGGAAAGCCTCTAGGGAGAAAAGGAACTTTAGCTACCAGAATCAGTATATTAATCACGTGCCTATTTTCATGGAGATTTTGCTAAAGTAAGGCTGGCAATTGCAGTAGTGTATCAGATAGTGATGGGCTGTTGTTTTTTTCTTTTTTCAAAGAGCCAAAAGATAATGAATCAACCTTTCACTGAACTTATTTTTGTCTTTTGTTCATCTGGCACGACCTTAATTGTTTGAATTGATTTTTCCAGAAACTGCATCACATTACTGGCTCATATTCAATTTGTGAGTCACTATATCCCCCTAGATTCTGCTACCTTACCAGTGGCTCCCCATTTTGTAGTTCTGTATTTGTTTTGTTTTTGAAGTGTAGCACTTTACATTTCTCTTTATTGAATTTCTTGTTGATTTTAGACCAATTCTCCAGTTTGTCAAGATCATTTTAAATTCTAATCCTGGTCTTCAAAGTGCTTACAACCCCAGACTGGTGTCATCCAAGTATACTTTCCACTTCATTATCCAAGATCTTAATGAAAATATTTAATATAATCGGATGCAAGAGTAACTCTTTGTGAATCCATTAGATATGCCTTTCCACATGGAGAGTGAACAGTTGATAAATATTTAATCTAAATTTTTGGTCTTCGTTCAATTTTTTTTAAAAAGGTCCAGCTGCGGAAATTTGCCTCTCACGTTGTAGAAGCCTCACATATCCTGTGTTATTTATTGAAATCAATATGGGGGTCTGTAGTTTGACCCCATGAACATGTAGTTAGTAAATATTTTTAAATCATAATACATTTTACAAGTATCTTGTAGGAAGATGCAGAATTAATTTATAATCAAATAAAACTATTTAAAGTATCAGACCATGATGAAATGTCAACCAAAGTCAAAGCAATACAAAACATTATGAAGTCATCTTCATTGTCTGACCATCCCAGCTAAGTATCAAATGTGTTGGAGTACAAACTGCAAGTAATTTGATGCTGTGCTGTAGAGTGTCATCTTTTTTATCTTCATTTCTCACACTACAGATTGGAGTCTAAATATAAGAATTACTCCCACACCTCAGATGCAGAATCTGTTTGGGTTTCTTTATTAATTATTAAAGGAGAAAGCTCTGATTGAAGCTGCTCTGGAGTAAATTATTTCTTTTCTTGACCTAATCCAGAAATAAAGTCTAAAACTCATTCACACACACCTTGAAATATAATGTAACATCATTGTGAGTATATATAATGCTTGTGAATTGGCAGCTATTTAGACTGTAGTGCTTTCGGTTTGTCCACAGAATGAGTAGAATGTGAGTAGTGGAAATGCAGGATCTATTTTAAATTGATTTATTTAAAAATGTGCCTTTCCAAATATCAGGCAGGTTTACCATATAGCAAGGAGCTCCTAATAGGGTAGAATTAAAAATAAGTAGGAGTAAGAGTAATAATAAAAAGTTAAAATAATATTTTATTTGGCTTGACAGAAACAATTCACAAATGAATCTTGACCAAACTGACCAAGGGGGAATGGCCTAATCTGTGTGTAAATAAGATTCAGGGCAAAGGTGAATGTGGTCCCCAATACATGTACTTTAAGGTTGGGGGCTTCTGCTTAGGGTGCAAAGCACTGGTTGGACTTCCAGTTCACCGACACTCTGCTTCATTGAGTGTGCAGCACGGGAGGGTCCCTTGATATTGAGCTGCTTTCTATAAGGTTAAGTCCTCTGGGGGCTGAAGGGTTCATTGCATGCTTTGCCCGCCACTACCACCGGGCAGAGGCACTTTACATGGGAATTCCATAGTCAGTATGGACAAAATAGATGCCATGATATTTCTTTGCTAAATGGGATTGGGAGAAGAGGTTCTCTGCACAGCTCCACTTCCAAGAACTTTGGAAACTTTCCTTATTGCTTCTTCATGTGTTTGTGCAATTGGTAATTTTACTGTACCCTCTCTGTAAGCAAGGTAATTCCGTCACAGAGAGAAGATGATCTGGTGGGTGTAGTGTTAGCCTATGGCTCAGGAGACCTGGGTTCTGTTCCTTAGTGTGCCACAGGTTTTCTGTGTGACCTTTGGAAAGTCATTCGCTCAGTGCTCCATATACAGTGTCTCAATGTCGTGAATGGTGACTATATTAAAGGTACTGAAGAGTTCAGATACTACAGGTAATGGGGTTATATGCATGTTTGAGATAGTTGACAGCAATGTGGTGTTCTGTCACATTGATGGATGTTTGGCTGCATGCATGTGTCTCCTGACTGTCCTGCCCTTTCTCTGCACAGACAAACAGCAGAGCAAACTTGGAGAGAACCCCCAATGATTACAAAAATCAGATAAGGGACAAAGGCCCCTGGCCAAGCATATTGTCAAATGAAGCACAGTGATAGCACCTGGCAGACTCTACAAGCATACTATAAATGTATGCCCCCTGACAATGGATGCAGTCAGTCAGTGGTGGGACTTTCCGCTGACTCCTTGGTTGGACAGAGGTTTAAGGCAGGTGTCCCACTATCTATAGACTGAGACAGATAATCTGGGATACATAATTTATGTATCATTTTACACATTTCAGGACATGTTTGTTACCTCCCTTTGTACTTTACTCCTGATATTTCAGACAAAACATTCCTGTTCGCCATCTGTCATTGTTCTTTCACTCCAGATGTTTCAGACAAAATATTGCTATTCATCACTTTTGTCAAACCATTTTATCATGTGCTAGTTTGGGGTCTTCTTGTGCTGTCCTGCTCGAATGTGTTTACATGTTCAGTGTGCTTTAGCAGTGCTAACAATACTGATGCCGAGTTCATGTCCCAGACACTGACTTACAGGCAAACATCTGCTTTTGATAGGGCCTATAATAATATAACTTTTGCTAACTTTGGTGCAGGCCTCAAGCCTTACACTAGGCCCAGGTTTCAGGCTTTTTCTTTCTACTACAAATAGGTCATGCAACCATGATTCTAATGACATGTCCTGGGTTTGTTAATCTTAACATTCATTTGCATTTACCTATTGTCATGCAACTAAAATAGAGGATTTTTTTTAATTTTCATCATCAGAGTACGCTCGATTTGAGGCAAAAATCCATGACCTACGTGAGCAGATGATGAACCACAGCATGAGTTCTGGGTCCGGCTCCCTGAGAACCAATCAGAAGCGGTCACTCTACGTCAGGTAGGCTCAGAGTGTTTTTCCTTATGATAAATATCAGTAGCTCCTCTACCATGTGTTTTGGGGAGCTGAGGAATATAACTGAGACTTGCATTATGATGTGAATTGACATGGTTAAAAATGTATAATGCAGTGATATGAATACATTCTCGATGTGCCTATATTACTAATGTTATCATTTCACAGCTATTTTTGAAGAGCAGTAAAAAGAGTTGTAGCAATGTTTTCAAGATGAAATGTATATGCCTATGTCATATTTATTCTACCTAATGACTTACCATCCCCCAGAATCCTAGAAAGGCCTAGCAGCTTCAGACATGCCAGCAAGTGTCTTTGTGCATCAGTCTGTTCCCCAACAAAAACTGTCTCTCAAACAATTGACCCTGAGTGAGAGAGACATACACTTTTATCCAGCTAGAAGTTCTTTGTCTTCTTAGTTTCTTGAATTTGGCCTGCTGCTATCCAAAAGCAGTTTGGTTTGCTCAAGAGGAAGTCAAGCCAGTACCCCACCCTTAGAGTCAGTATCTATTGCATTATCTTGTGATAGCCCTCAGTAGTTCGTTTTATCTTGAATCATTGTTTTGAATTCCTGTTTGTTTCCTAACTTACCTGTTGATTAAACCCAATACACCTAATAGTAAAAATCCCAATACAGTATCTATAGATTGTTACATAGTAGCCTCATGTCTGCCACAAGAGTCGCAATGGCAGGGCAAGTGCAGGGACATTTTTTATGTCATTATCAATACAGTATTCTGTAAGTAGAGGACTTCATTCTGCTCACAACCCAGCACCTTTCATCAGCATCAAATTAATACAAATTTTTAAAAAATCAAAACTTTTAAGTACAGAAGCCAAAATCCCCTTTGGTGGCAGTCACAGGGTAACTGACTCGATAGCCTCTGAGTAAACTTTTCAAAAGTGCCTAGGTGCCATTTTCAAATTGATTTAGGTACTTTGGAGCCTAAGTATTACTGAAAGTCAATGTTACTTAGGTTTCTGATGGTCAGATTTTCAAAGGAATTTAGGCATCTAACGTCACATAATGGGATATTGATCAGTACCAAAACAAGTGAATCAATGGGAGTTAGTTACCTAATCTGCTTAATGCTTTAGAAAATCTGTCTGCATCTTTAGGTGACTACATACCTTTAAAAATGTATACCTAATTATCTAGATCACTTTTGGAAATGGAGCATAGGCTCCTAAATTACTTACGCTCATTTGAAAATGTTACTCTCTGTCTTAATACATAGCCTGATGGCATTCTTCTGATGTCTTTTAGCCACATATCTAAATATTACTTCTCATACCAAAAATAGAGATCTGTTCTTTTATTTCAGAACTGAGCAGAAAATCCTCAGCCATAAAACCTGAAGAACCTCCATTCATTTTTATTTGCATGAACTTATGCTGTCAAAGCCAAGAAAGCTGGCTGGATTCATCTCTACTAAAATTGTGCTTGCTAAATGCTGTATTTTATATATTTTTATCATTTGTTTAGAATGTGGTAAAGCATGGAGGCCACAGTCAGGGGTATGGTCTCCAATGTGCTAGGCGCTGTTGATTCAAATAATATATGGTTGTTACAAAGGGTAGTGTGTGTCTGTTTTAGGTACTGGGGCAATGGGGTGGGAGGAAGAGTAACATGGCAAGCATGTGTGTTCCCTAATGTTCTGATTTCCTGGGGACATTAAGGATAGAATCCCCTTCTCGTTAAAGGACTTTTATGAGAAATCTGGAGTGTAAGAGACTATTGTAATAATGTCCTTTCAATTCAGGCCAAGTGCCTGAATTTTTTAGATGATCATTTTTAGATGATGAATTTTTTTTAGATGATCATTTTGATAAGCATCTGTGCAGTGTGCGAAGGACAAGATGCTTCTAATTATCCTAAAAATGTCTATGTAACAATTCCCTAGCTGTGATGGAAAGTTAATGATGCCATTTTTCTTCATTTCTTCTTTATTTAAGATGTTATGGTTTTGCTATTCTGCATTGAATAAGAGCTTGTGTGTGTATGTGCGTGTATCTATTTAGCTTGAAATGTTTTAGCATTGGAGTTTTAATTGGGATAAATTTCATTGGTTTAGGCAGTGCGTGGGTACATAAAGTAATTGCTTCATAGATAAAATTACACTGGGAAAACCAGAAAACAGGGAAACAAGTTTTTCTTAAATGAGAATTATTAAAACATAAATACACTTAGAGCACCAGCAGCAGTCAGATAGGAAGTGTGGGTCAGACTGCCCTGCTTGAGAAAAAGGGTGAAAGGAAAGGCAATACTTGTGGCAGGAGCCATGGTAGGTGCTAGGATTGCATTTGTCAAAGCTGTTAAAATGTAGTCCTAAACACTGTATATACTAAGAATAAACCAGAGAGAGTGAGAAACATTTAACATAAACTATGTATTCCTTTGCTTTATTTTGGTGGTTTGTATTCTTTCCTTGCTTTTTATCTTAGTCATTTCAAAGAGCCACTGCTGCTCCTTGGAAAATGTTCCTCTTCAACACTAATTCTGGCTCTCATCATATTTTCTGGTTTCTCTTTATCTGTTCTCTTTAGTATTGGCCTTATAAAAATATTGTCATTGTTTCTTAAGAACTCATCTGCTCCTGCTGCTCTGAGCCCTAATCTTCTGTGAGGAGTGTTATCAGAATGTCTACAGAAACCAACTGCAGGCCATAAAGGATATTATGAGGCTCTAGGTGAGGGTCAAAAAATCTTAAGGAACCCAGACCTTCTTTGTCATTTAAATCACTTCAGTCAGAAAGAACAAGATAAAGAAAATCAGAAAATATGATACTATGGAGGAACTGATGTGTAATGGGCTAAACAGTGGTTATTTGTGGCTCTTTTATTGCCTGGCTAAGGGTAATGGATTTGTTTTGGATCAATTTGTTTTAATTAAAGTGCTGAGACAAGGTTCTGCTTTTCACCACTTTTCATTCTTAACCATTCAACTTCTAGCTCAAAAACTCATTGACAGGTGGATGACAACTATCAATAAAACTAAATACTGTGCTATACACAAACGACTTTTTGGTACTGACTACATCCTTATCTGTTGGACTTATAACTTAAAACAGTGTTTCTCAACTTTTTTTTGTAAAGTACCCCTTTAAAAAAATTATAAGTGCCCCCAGTACCTAGAGTTTTCAGACACACAAAATTTTTTCTACCATTGCAACACATTTGTTTAAACAACTTAATCATAGCTGGGCAGGTGATGAAATTTTGGGTGTAAAAAGTACAAAAATAATAACACTGTAAAATTTAAAACAAAAATTCAGTTTTCTCCAAATTTCAGTTGTGTTTATTACAACTAATAAAAGAAAGTTCTTCTTCACACAGCGTGTAGTCAACCTGTGGAACTCCTTGCCAGAGGAGGCTGCGAAGGCTAGAACTATAACAGAGTTTAAAGAGAGGCTAGATAATTTCATGGAGGGTAGGTCCATTAAAGGCTATTAGCCAGGGCATAGAAATGGTGTCCCTGGCCTCTGTTTGTCAGAGGCTGGAGAAGGATGGCAAGAGACAAATTGCTTGATCATTATCTTCAGTCCACCCTCTCTGGGGCACCTGGTGCTGGCCACTGTCGGCAGACAGGCTACTGGGCTAGCTGGATCTTTGGTCTGACCCAGTACGGCCATTCTTACGTTCTTATGTTCTTATGTTGACATACCCCCCCCAGACACCTCTCAAGTACCCCTAAGGGTACTCATACCACTGGTTGAGAAAAACTGGCTTAAAATATTTGTTATTGGAAAAATCATTTGCATTGGTTCAAAACAGCTGCCCGTCCATGCTCTTTTCTCTCGATTCACTCATCAGCTGTAGAATATGGCCAATCTTGCTGAGGGTGGGGGAAGGCAAAGGGGACAACTACTCGGTGATTCCAGCAGCGATGGCACCCAGAGCCCTGGACCCTTTAAATGGCCACCAGAGTACCATGCAATGCACTCTAATGGCTACAGGAGCTATGTGACATGCTCTGGGTGGCTCTGAGGGCTATCTGCCCTCGTCCCTGCTCCTTCTGCCAGAGGCCCCACCCCTTTTGGGAGCACAGAACAACCTCCCCACACACCTTGCCCAGGGTCCCAGCATGTCTGTCAGCTCTCATGACTATGGCAACCTTTTAAAGGACTGAAACATTTAGGAAGTGCTGTCTTTTTGTTGAAAGGGAGCCAGCCAGTGAACTTTATTGTTAATGATCAAGCACTGAAGGGATCTTCTAGTACAAACATGAAGTATCTATGCCATTAAATTAATAGACACCACCAAATTGTAAGTGTGCGCGCATGTATCATAAAGTAGATCAGTGTTAGATTTATGGAAAATGCAGGTGAGCGTATCAGAATTACACCTCGCACGGCAGTCAATTGAAAAACAGATGTAACCGGGAGCATACCATGCCAGTGAACCTGCCTTCATAGGATCAACTGTCTCAGGAGTTCTCAGACATCATTTCCCCGTGACCCCCTTCTAAGAACAAAAATTATGACATGACTCCAGCAGGAGGGACCAAAGCCTAGGCCTCCTAAGCTCTGTAGCACAAGATGTGAGGGGGTGGGAAGCCTGAGCCACGCTTCCTTTAGCTGATGGATCAGCCCAGGTAGGGGGCCTGTAACATGAGCCCTATCACTTTGAGCTGAAGCCCTCAAGGCTTTGGCTTCAGTCCCAGGCAGTGGGGCTTGGGCTTCACACTTTGGGCCCCAGCAAGTCTAAGCCAGTCCCAGTGATCCCATTAAAATGGGGTCATGACCCACAGTTTGACAACCACTGGTCTATCTGATTTCTAGATAAAAGGGGTTCAGGCAAGTTTAGAATACACAACAATAATACTTTACAATTCTTACATATTATAGACAATTTGTGAAGAAAGGCGTATAATTAAACATTCTTACCCAAGGGAGTTAACCCAGAATTAATGTGGCTGTTTAGAACCTTGGATTCTGTTCAGGAGGTTTATGGAGACTCAGAGCCTTTCATTTCTAGCCTGGTGG